ATTGTTCACTTTTACAAGGTGACTAATATGCTGGCTGAATAAGCTGGATTGTCGACTGTTGATATTTTATTCATAATGAGGGACTTGACCTAGAAAAGGATCCTGTTTCAGAAATAATTTGGGATCTTTAATGTTAAAGGAGTAAATTTCTTTTTTTTCCCAAGACTCACAGGTACATCATAGCATTCGTGGTTCTGAGTACTATAAAGCTTGATTAGTCATGACATAAACTTATAGTACTACTTGACTCTAAGATTACTCTCGGTTTTTTTTTTTATTATTATTGCTTTTCAAACATAGTACTAATTAAATCCCAATCTCATTATTTTAGGCTTCCCTGGGAATAAACTGTTGTCCATGTGTTACTTATTATAGTAATGAGTATTCAGTGCTTTTTTAAAATTGTGGTCAGATATATATAACATAAAATTTACCATCTTAAACTAGTTTTTAGTGTACAGTTCAGTGGTATGAAGTACATTCACATTATTGTGCAACCATCACCACCATCCATCTCTAGAGCTTTTTGATGTTGCAAAACAGAAACTTCATACCCATGAAATACTAACTCCCTGTTGTCCCTTCAGCCCAGCCCCTGGCAACCACAATCATACTTTCTATCTCTATGAATTTAACTACTCCTGGTGTCTCATGTAAGTGGAATCCTACAAAACTTGTCCTTTGTGACTGGTATATTTCACTTAGCATCATGTCTTCAAGGTTCATCCATGTTTTAGCAGAATTTCATTCCTTTTTAAGGTTGAATAAGCTTCCATTGAAATACATATACCGCATTCTGTTTATCCGTTCATCCATTGATGGAAAGTTGGGTTGCTTCCACCTTTTGGCTATTGTGAATAATGCTGCTATAAACATGGATGTGCTTTAATGCTATTTTTGCAAAGGAAGTGCATGGCAGCTAGGTCTTTATCTTTTTTAATCAAGGTTTTCCAAACTAAGAGGAAGATGTTTATGTTTTGGATTTTTGTTAGGTGTTAAAATTTTTTTCTTTTCTTTTTTTAGTTCATCTTAAATTTAAGGCCTAAATTTGGTGTTGCTACTTAATCACAGCTTTGCTTTCTAAGCAGTATAGAGCAAGAAATTTTCAAGTTTTCCACAGAGAAATTGTCATATTTAGAATCCTGCAGCAGTATGATTTAATTCAACCATTAGTAACATTTGATGGTGCACTAGCCGTGGCATTTGATACTAAAATGTTTTTCATGTATCTGACCCTTAGACTCTAAATCTCACTGCTTTTGTTTGCTTAGGTGTGTGTTACTAGATATTCCACCCATATTCTAAACAGTCTTGTGAAAAGCCTTCTCTTAACAGAGTCAGGGTGGGAATTTTATTTGATAATAAAAACTGAGCTACTAAAGAAGTGAAGATTGTTGTTTATATTTTAAAGGCCACCTCCAGTGAGTGTTAAATGTAGGGACATTTGTAAATGTTGCACTTTTTAGGACGAAATGAGTTTAGGTTGGACTTATTAGTTACTATGTGATTCTTTGAATTTTAGATTTTTAAGGATTGGTTCTTTAATTATGCCATTTAAGGCTTCCAGATTATTAGTTGTATCTAATAAGTCATGAGGGGGAGGAAAGGGGTGTTGTGAAGAGGATGGGTAAAAAGCCTACATATATTGAAGGAAAATGTTTGGATCCTTTGTCAATTCAAGATCATCTGCAGTGAAGGCAAAACACTAGTGAGGGTGGGGGGAGTATTTGATTGAGGGATTTTCAGGCATGCATTCTAGATGCATACTTCTGCATACACAACTACACATGCAGCTCCTTTGCTCAGAACAAATGTTCTTGCAAGAAACTAATAACTAACTTTGTGGTGGGTGGTGAGGTAGTAGATTGAGTCACAGCACAATTTCCGGAGACTTGATAAAGCATTTGTGTATAGCATAGACTTGACTGTATGGGGCCAGCCAATACGATATGGTTGGAGACCATTAAGGAGTGGTGGTAACAGAGTACGATGATTGCAAACTTTCTTGAGCTCTGGGCTGGAGGAAAGGAAGAAGTAAAACTGCGTGTGAAAAGTGTTTGCATGGTGGCTGAGGGCTTTTTGCAGCATTTCTGTGATAATCTAGAGTGGATTTAAACACAAAGCATTAGAAATAGACTTTAATACTAGTTGACCACAGTGAAACATACGCCTTTTGGGGGTTAGTCTTCCACGCCTGGGTAAAACATAGCTCTAATGTTTTCCTTTCACTTCTCTTTGCCTGAAAAGTAGATTGGCTAAGAGAAAGACCACTACATTTTTTCGTACTTTTAGATTATATCTTTGAGAACAAATGTAGAATAACTGATATGAGAAAAGTTGAGTTGTGGCAGGCACAGGGAAGGGAGTTTTTGTTTTATATTTGTCTCAGTTAAATAAGTTAAAGCAAGTGAACAAAAACGAAATCATCTTTCCTGGCAGTAGAAATTCTGTGAAGTTATAATGAGTTTGACATTGACATTTGGCCAAGGCTTTTAGGGAAATGCAAAATGACTCCAGTGTAGTGCAGGTCCTTTCCTTAGAGCATTTCTTTGGGTAGTGGAGATAAGGCAAACCAAGTTTCATACTTGGGGTCAGAAAGTTACAAGAATATAAAAATATGAGAATATAAACATGATGTGGCCTATACTTAAAAAAAAAAGCTTTATTGAGATACAATTCACATATCATATAATTCAGCCAGTTCAGTGGTTTTCATTATGCTCATGCAATTGTGAAAGCTCTCAGCACAGTCAGCGTTAGCAGATCTTCCTCACCCCCAACAGAAACCCATTTCCACGAGCAGTCACTCCTGAGCCCTAGGCAGTAACTAATCTACTTTGTCTCTGTTTGCCTGTTCTGAACATTTGAAATAAGTGAAATCATACGCTATGTGGTCCTTTGTGACTGGCTTCTTCCACTTAACACAAGTTTGATCTATGTTGTAATACATATCAGTACCTTATTCCTTTTAATTGCCAAATAGTGTTCTCTTTTATGGATATACCACATTTGTCCATTCCTTAGTTAATGGATATTTGGGTTGTTTCCATTTTTAAGCTATCGTGAAGCCAAATGATACTGCTACTCACATACAGAATTTTGTGTGGACATAGGTTTCTCTTGGGTGTATATCTAGATGTGGGAATTGCTGGGTCATATGCTAACTATGTTTAACTGCTGAGAAACTGCCAGACTGTTTTCCAAAGTGACCACCATTTTACATTCCCACTGGTAATGTATGAAGGTTCCAATTTGTCCGTGTCCTTGCCTATACTTACATATCTGGGTTTTTGGTTTGTTTGTTTTTGACATGATCCAATTTACATTCTTCTTCTTTTCTTTTTTTAAACTGAAATATAATTGACTTACAATATTAGCTTAGCTTACCTGTCTTTTTGGTTATAGTTATGCTAGTGGGTGTGGAGTGTTATCTCACTGTGGTTTTGATTTGCATTTCCTCAGTGTCTAGTGATGTTAAGCATCTTTTCTTCTGCTCACTGGCCATTATTGTATCTTTTTTTGGAGAGCTGTATATTCAGATCCCTTGCCCATTGTAAATTTGGATTATTTGTTTTTTATTATTGAGTTGTAAAAATTATATTTTCTGATGCAGTTCTCTTATTGGATCATGTATCCAATTCACAAATATTTTCTCAATTCTATGGGTTGTCTTTTTACTCTCTTGATGGTGTCCTTTGAAGCACAAGGGTTTTTCATTTTGGTGAGGTTGCCCCAGCACATTTGTTGAAAAGGCTGTACTTTCCCCATTGGATTGTCTTGGTACTGTTATCAGAATCATTTGGCCATCAATATGATAGTATAATTCTGGACTGTCTGTTCCACTGATCTATTTGTCTGTTTTTCTCTCCTTACGTTAGTACCACAGTTACTGCGGTTTTGTAATAAGTTTGAGGTTGACGGATGTTGTCTTCATAATTCAAGATTTTTTGGCTATTCTGGGTCTCATGCATTTCCATATAGATTTCAGGATCAGCTTGTTAATTTTTGGGGAAAAAAAGTCAGCTAGAATTTTGATAGAGATTGCCTTGAATCTCGTAGACTGATTTGGGGAATATTGTTGCTGTCTTAACAGTATTAAGTCTTTCGGTTCATGAACTTAAGTTATCTTTCCATTTGTTTAAGTCTTTAATTTCTTTTAACAGTACTTTAGAATTTTCAGTGTACATGTTTTGCAGTTTTTTTACATCTGTACTTAAGTATTTAAATCTTTTTGTTACTGTAAATAAAATTTTCTTCGTCTCTGGATTTTTCATTTGTTGGTATATAGAAACACAACTGATTTTTGTATATTGTTCTACAACTTTGAAGAACTTGTTTATTCTGGTAGTTTTTAGTGGGTTCTTTAGGATTTTCTTTATACAAGATCATATCATGCACAAATAAAGGTAGTTTTACTTTTTTCTTTCCACTCTGGGTGTCTTTTGTTAGTTTTTCTTGCCTAACTGCCCTGACCAGAAATTCTAGTATGATCAGCATTGAACAGAAGTTGCAGTAGTAGACATCCTTGTCTTATTTCTTTTTTTTTTCCTTAACATGTGAAATTCTTTTTTAAACAAAATTTTATTTTATTTATTTTTTTGGTCGGGGGAGGTAATTGAAAAAAATTACTAATTTTCTGGAGAATTAGAAAAGCAGATGACTAAATGGGGGAGGTAATCAGTTTACTGATTGATTGATTTGCTTGTTTAGTCATCTAAACTGGACCTCATGCATGCTAGGCACGCACTCTACCACTGAGCTATACCCTCTTTTATTTCTGATGTTAGAGGGTAAGCCGTTTGGTTTTTTACCATTAAATGTGATGTTAGCTGCAGGTTTTTAAATGCCCTTTTTCAGATTGGGGAAGTTTCCTTCTATTTCTAGTTGGAGTGTTTTTATCATGAAAGATTGTTGGATTTATTTATTTTTGTGTGTGTCAAATGCTTTTTCTAACATAGATTTCTTTAAAAATGACTTTTTTTCTCTTTTTTTATCTGCAGAAATTGACTTGCATACCAAATGTGTGGTGGATGTAGATGCAAACAAGGTTATTCTTAATCCTGTAAATACTAATCTTTCCAAAGGAGACACCCGGTAAGTTAAGAAGCAGTGTTATGATCAGTGGGTTTTTAAATGACTGAAAGCAACAATGGCTGCTGAACTGAGTTCAGTTGAACAAACACTGAATGCTTGGTGTGTAGAGATCTCTCTTCCACTTGGCAGCAATACGAGGTCTATGATATGAAATGATTAAGTGCTGGAATGAGTGTTGTAGGCAGGAATGGTATTAGAAGCTCAGAGAAGAGAGCTTAAGTTAGATTGTGAGGTAATTGAGGAAGGCTTCTTGAGGGAGATGGTACTGGCTGGAGGATTAGGTTGAATGTAAATGGGAATAAATAGGTAAGAAGGGAAGGCTTTTGGGTCATTTCTCTGCATGGGTTGTTTTTACTTCTGCCAGTTTGCATCCTGCCTGTCAGTCAGAGCCCATTTCCAGTGCTACTTTCTTCCCAGTGGCATTCTTACAGCCCTCAGGATTCCCTCTCCTTTAAGTCCCTGTAAGCTATAATGTCTACTACCTAATTTAATTATTATGTATTGTTTCAGATTTTTAATTGTAACTCCAAAGTAGATTTTAAGGTCTTGGAGGGAAGGGACTCTGTTGGGCTGAGGATAAATATTTGAGCATCATTTGTGGATTTGGGTGATAGTATGAACAAAAGGGAGGGCAAGAAGATGTGAGGAAAGTGATCGTGGGGAGGAAGGAAGAGGTTAATTTGGTTTTTCTCAGTAAGTGCAGGAAAATTAATTTAATCAGATAAGCTGGGGTCAGATTCTAGAAGGCCTAAAGAGCAGATGAGGAGATTTGGCCTGTATTTTTATAGGTAAGATGGCATCTTTGACAGTTTTTGAATTATTGTGATTAAGGAGGTGGATTAGGGAGAGTTGTCAGATTGCCGTGTAGACAGTGGGTCGGGGTGGGGAAAGACTGGCTTTTTCGTAGGGATCAGGTCCTGGAAGTGGAGAGCACAAGTTAGAGGAGGGTGTCCACCATGGTGCCGCGCACAAAGTGGGCACTTCACAATACCTGTGGAGACAGTGTGATACATGGAAGCACACACGGAAGGCGCTCCTTAAAGGTTCTTTTGAGTTGAGTTAGACTGAACTGAAAAGAGCATTGGAGTTGGAATCAAAATCTGAAATCAAATCCCTACTTAACTATGTTATCATAGTTGGTTATTTTAAACTTTTGAGCTTTATCTGTGTGATACCTGCCTTACCTGTTTCATAGAGGTGTTTTCTGAAGATCAAATTAGTGATCATGAAAGTGCTTTGTAAACTGTCCAGTAAATGTTCAGGTTTATTGCTGTTGATGTAGAGGTATTTCTTAAGCATCTCCAGGATATGCTGTTACTGGGGTGTGAAGGATACAGATGTGTCAGGAAAGGTGCTAGGATTTTGAGCCTGCTAAATGAAGAACCTACTGTCCTGAGTATTAGTTGAAAATATTACTTTTGGGGGCTGTTTATTGCCCTTAGAGCTTTCAATCTGAAGACTGTTGCTTTCTTTGGAAATGTGGACAGCTGTGAACAAACTAGGAGGCAATACCTTCTGGTAGAAAGAATGTGGGCTTCATATACAGACTGATGGATCCAAATTCCGGCTTTGCCACTTGCTGGCATGGTTATCTACCTGTGTTCCTTATTTGTAAAGAGTTTCTGTTTTCTATTGCTGTGTAACAAATTACCTCAAAAGCTTAGTGGCTTAAAACAACAATAATCATCTATTATCTCATGGCTTCTGTGGATCAGAAATTCAGACTGGGCTCAGCAAGGATGGCTTGCTCTGCTGCATGCTGTCTGGGGCCTACCACGAAGACTTGAAGGCTAGGGGCTGGAGTCATCAGGAGAAGGCTCGCTGGTCACCCAGGTCTGGTTGTTGATGCTCCCTGTTGGCTGGAGATGCCGCTGGGGCTGTGGGCAGAACACCTCCTCACAAAGCAGCAGGTTCCAAGGGCAAGCGTCCCGAGAGTGAGAAAGCCAAGCAGAAGTGGTATTGGCCTTTTATGTCCTAACCATGGGAGTCACACAGTGTCACTTTTTCACATTTTCTTGCTCAAGGCTGGTATAGAGCTCTACACAGTTTCAAGAAGAGGAAACAGACCCATCCACCTCTGAGTGGAGGAAAGTTAGTGTCACATAAGAAAAGGGTTTGGGGTGGGAAGTGTGTTGTGGCTGTCTTTGGAAAACACAGTCCACCCACCACAATTGTATCGTATCTACCTTTTGAGAAGAAAATGAGCACATAGAAGCTAAAAAAAAAGTTTCTTTCCTTTTGAGATCTTTAAATCTCAGGGATTTGTGAAAGAATTAAATAGCACTTTTTGGTTCCATAGAATACCTTAGATGGCTCTTTTTTAACATGTGCTGAAAATACAAATTGAATATTAGTTCAGTGTCATAGCATACTGTCTGATGAGAAACTTAAAAATGACGACTGTCAATAAGGTTGGTATGTAATGGCTTTTGCTGAAGTAAAGAAGCCTAGTGTCTTAAAAAAAACCAACTCTTTATTGAAGTATGTAATATACATACAGAAATGTATATATAGCTTGATGAATTTTCGTAAGTTGAACACACTCTGATAACTGGCACCAAGATAAAAAACAAGAACATTACTAGTATGACAAAAGGCCACCTCGTGAGAAGCGCATTTTCTTTTAATGTAATATGGAGGTGTAAAGAGAAAATAGAAATTTTGGGATATAGTAGTTCAGTGGTATATGCTGATTTCATTAAAAGAAAAAAATAGGAGGGAAAGCACAAA